TTGTAAAAACATAAACACCTCTAGAAATTAATTAGCTTTTTCCCACAGAAGGGAAAAATCATTTGTCTACTTGCTTGTTTGCAAAAGTTCTCATACCAGAATATCACAGTCTTATATATATGATTCTGTTTTACATTGGTCTTACCCTGACACTTCTTAACCCTCTAAATTGTAATCTAGCATTTTGCTTAAGAGCAAGAACTCTCAGCCCTAGCACTTTCTGGCTGAAAAATCTATGGCCAGTTAGCTTACATACTTTGTTCCTCAGTTTTCCCATCTGTAAAATGAGGATAACAAGTATGTCTTCTACACAGAGTAGCTTATAAAGCTTAAAGGCATATATATGCTTTTGATAATATATATTAATATATATATTTCTAATAATATATATAAGCACTCGGAAGAGTCTTTGGCAGGTAATATATGCCATATAGGTATTATTGTTATTATTATCATGCCTACCATTACCACAGAGAGAACAGTGATATTCATTGGCCTTCTTTATTTAAATGCTCTATTACAAACCACTTTCTTGCTAAGTATCTCTGGGATTAATCTATAGAAGAAACAGAAGGTGGATTTTGGATGCTGTAATTAGAATGTCAGTTATGATTGCATGACAAATCTCAAGATAAAAGATTTATATATAAAACATAAAAATAAATAATGATTTAAAAAGTCATCGTATGAAACCTCACTAATACGAAAGATTACTACATGGTTAATTATCTTCAAATCAGGAATGTTCTGAGACAATTTTCTGGACTATTTATGATATATTTTCTCTGTGCTGTATCAAGAATGATACTATAAAAAGATATATATAAAATATCAGTCCCATCTGGCGTGGTAGTCATGTGTTATCAAGTTAATGATAAAATTCATCACATTCTTTGGCCAATCCAAAAAGAAAGCATAAAGTTTATTTTAAAAGTTTTAATATTTTGTCTTTCATCACTCTAATGTGTCATCCAAATGCATTTTTGTAGTAGTTTTACTGAGATATAATTCACACACCACATAATTCACCCATTTGCTGTATATAATTCAATGGTTTTTAAGCATATCCACAGAATTATGATATCATCACCACAATCAAGTTTAGAACATTTTCATCATCCCCAAAAGAAACTCTACACCCATCAGCAATCACCCTCCATTCCCCCTCCCCACTGCCACTGGCAACCACTTTCTGTCTCCACAGATTTGCCTATTCTGGACGTTTCATATAAATGGAGTCATATTGGGTTGGCCAAAAAGTTGTTCGGGTTTTTCCATAACATGGAAAACCTGAACGAACTTTTCGGCCAACCTCCTAATATGTGTCTTTTTGTGTCTGCCTTCTTTCACTTAGTATCATGTTTTCAAGGTGCATCCATGTTGTAGTATATATCAGTACTTTATTCCTTTTTATTGCTGAATAATACTCCCTTGTATGAATAGACTACACATTATTTACCCATTCATCAGTTGGTGGGCATTTGAGTTGGTTCTGGTTTTGGCTATTATATAAAATGCTGCTGTGAAAATTTGTGTACGAATTTTTATGTAGACATATGTTTTTGTTTCTCTTGAATACATACCTAGGAGTAAAACTGCTGGGTCGCATGGTAATTCTATGTTTAGTCTTTGAGGAAATACCAGAATGATTTCCAAAGTGGCTGCATCATTTTACCTTTCCACCAGCAGTGTATAAGGGTTCCAGTTTCCCTGCCAACAGTTCTCATTGTCTGTCTTTTTGATTATAGCCATCCTGGGGATGTGAAGTGGTATCCAAATGCAGTTTTAAGATAGAAAGACACTCAGATACATTGAGCAAGGAAGTAAAATCTTTTACGACAAGGGAAAGCACAAAGAGATTAGGAAAAGGATCCTGCAGTCAGGCTGGAGAAGAAAGCAGGAGATGTTTTTAAATGTTACTCAATTTCATATCCTTATGCAACCAGCTGCCCTTACCAAAGTGTCAGGATTACAGAGCCAACCCCCGATTTCACATCTGGAGTTTATAATAATCATAGCAACAACTACTCTTGATTTATTGATTTATTTTACAAAGTTCCTTCCCATGTTATACCCCACTTGCTCCAACACCACAGATCCTCCATGGGAGGATATTATTATTCCCATTCTGCAGGCACAGTCGCTGAGGCCCAGAGTGGCTAACTGACTTGCCCAAGCAAAAGTAGTTCAAAACAAATACATACATCCATATATACATCCATAAATAAATATTAAATTAATAAAATTCACAGAGCTGGACCTGGAAGCCAAATTTTGTATTTCAAATCCCAATCCTGGCATCTCCTTTCCTTACCACCTTCATTCACCTCATCTTTGATGACCCAGAAAGCAATGGAAAGGAAAGAGAAGGCAGAGAGGAGGAATTGTCTGTGTGTCTGTGAGTGTGTGAGTGAGTGTGTGTGTGTGTACAGCAATTAGAGGCAGGAGGCCTGCACATCACAAAGTCCCCACAATCCACCTGTGAGAAAGCAGTTAGGGATGTGAAATCATGTTGTGACAGTGACAGCCAGGAGGGCTGCATCCCTACTCCTTTATGAGAGGTTCTTCCAGTAACCAAGAAGCTAGTGGCATGCATGGCCACTTAAATCCCTAAATTCTGAATATTACATCATCTGTATTTACAACAGTATCTTTAATTACATACACTAGTTATTCAAATATTGGAGTAATCACTATGTACTCTGTACTCAGCACAGTGCAAAGATGGTAGAGATTTTTAAAAAGCAATGATGACAGTTCCCCAAAGTAAAATTAAGTAACTAACATTTACTAAGCCTTTTACATGTAGCACCTCCTCATTTAATCCTCACAAAATTCCTGCAAGAGAAGTAAAACGGAGGCACAGAGAAGTTAAGTAAATTGTCCGCAAGTCACAGGACTAATAAATGGTGGAGACAGACTAAGAACCCAGGCAGCCCGTGTTCTTAACCACCAACCAATCCTTTCTGCTAGATCTTGCTCAGCTGGAAGTCACCTGTGGTGACACACAGAGACCAATAACACTCGTTAATTCCAACAACCATTTGTTGAATGCTCTTCAATACACGAAGCCCAGGGGAAAACTCTCACAACAACTGTATGAAGTGCTATCTTCATTGCCTTTCTACAGATGAAGAAACAGGCTCAGAGAAGTGAATTAACTTGTCCAAAGTCACAGAGCTATAATAACTAAGGCTGGCATGGTGCATACTATATCCCAGGCACTGATCTAAGCACTAACTCATCTAATTAATCCTCATACAATACAGAGGTAGGCTCCATTATTACCCATCGTTCTTAGTTAAGTAACTTGCCCAAGGTCCCACACTAGTAAGTAGCAAACCCAGATTCACTCTGGTTTTAAAGTCCTCCTCAAAACAACTTAATGTTAACTCTTGGCAACAAAGTGGCTGAGCAGAAATTCAAACCCAGGTCTATATAACCCGAGTGCGAGACAGCCCTCTATCTTCTTACCGACACACTAAGCCTAGTCCTCAAACTTGCTGCCGTGCAGGGGGGTGCCTGGGAAGAGGAGAAGTGCTCTGGGGACTTCCCCAACCAAGGAAGGGGTATTTAAGCATCTCGAAGTAGAAAGTGCTTTCTGGACAAACAGAGGCACCCTGCAGTTTATCATTTTAAAGGAAGTGAAACGTACCCAATTGAAGAGCAGATAAATTATTAAAGTGTTTCAAGGTGAATCAGAAAAGCTTTATTTTGATTTTTTTCAGTTAGAAAATCTCTTGATGGAAAATCTTTTATTCCCTTTAATTCTGACTATACATTAAAAAATCACCAAGGGATAGAAATGCGCAATTTGCCTCTTGTAACTTTAAACTCAATTAATTCTGACCTCCAATATTTACTTTCTCAATCTAAGGGCAGCAAGCAGGGTGGTTACCAAACCTTTAGGGATCGTTGCAAGAGTCTCTCTCCTTTGGGTCCTGAAACACAGCATTTTAGAAACCAAAACAAGCCTGGAGATTCAGGCCAAGAACTAGAAGTAAGAGGCAAGCGCACCGTTCCGATGGGACAGGGGCCGGCATGCAAGTTTTGGCTCAACCACTGTAAAGCCAAGGGGTTTTTCCCCCTGGCAAACTGATTAATGACCACAAGACGGGCAGCTGCGGAACCGGTCATACCATAAGGAGAATTCTCAAACATGAATCCAAGAAGGACCAGGATGGGATGGAAATGATAAAGCGGGCGGGAGGGGGTCCTGAATCTGGGGGTAACTGCCTGTCCTGGACGCAGTGACACACATCAAGTCCCAACTCCTGCAGCAGCCGGGGGCCAATGGACCCTGCTGCCTAAAATGTGCGCGCTGGGGGAGCTGGCAGCAGGGCAGCGGGACAAGGTGCCTCCACGCCCCCTTGCGGACCCAAATAATGACGGGTGAGTATGTGCCAATTAAGTGATAGGTACAGTGTTTCAGAAATGTTCTCAGTTTAGCCCCCACCACAACCATTCAAGGAAGTTGCCGTGATCAGCCCCATTTTACAGATGAAAATACTGAGGCTCAGGGGAGTGAAGCCAGACTTGCAAGCCAAAAGTAAAACCTTAAGTGAAAGGGATTTGGTCTGGCTGGGGCCGGCGGGGGGCCCGGCGGGGGGCCCTTCACCTGCTCCTCTTGCTCTCTGAGCGGAGGAGGAGCTAGCTGTCAGCCAGGAGGCCTGTCAGCTCCCGGGTGCCCGGGCAAAGAGGGCGCGCGCGGTCGGCAGCAACGCGTCTACGGGGCGCAGGGCTGCAGCTGCTGGGCGAGGGCGCAGCAAGCACCGCGCGCCCGCCCGCGTCCGCCTCGGGAGCCCGGCGCCAGTCCGGAGTCCTCAGGGCGCCGGGCTGCAGCAGCTAAACCGCGGCGCGGACGGTCGACGCGTCCGCAGGCGTCCCGGAGCGCCGCGCGAGTCGCTAGCCACGAGCCACGGCGCGCGCGCGCGCGACTGCCACGGACACTGGCTGGCAGTGCCACCGCTAGCCTCCCCCGGCACTGCCCCTCATCTTACCGTAGCTGCTCTCCGGTGACCAGGACCTCAGCCATGCGCTCCAGCTCCCTTTGCTGCGCCCCGCCACTCCCGCTGGTGCTGCTGTCGCTGCCACCGCTGCCAGCGCTGTTGCCCTCCTCCATGGTCGGGGCTGCGCCGCTACCTCTGTCTTCGCGGTCCGCCGCGGGTTCGGGTATTAAATCAGCCTGCCCTCACTGAGGCCTCCCCCGCCATCTTTGTTAGGGGCCGTCCCGTAGTTCAGACGCGATTGGCTGGAGAGGGAATCCCTTGTGGGTAGGCTGAGGCGCTCGGCGAGTCCGCCCCAGTAACTCCAGCTTGGGGGCGTGGCTGGAGCCCCTCGTGGTCGGGGGCGGGGCCGAGAGAGGAAAATATCAACATCTGGGCTGGGGGCGGTTCTGCGCTAATTGTGCTGTTTGAGGTCGAGTTCGTCGTGGACCTCTTCCATTACCCACAAAGCTCATGCTGTGGGATCCTGGGGACGGGCGGGGAGGTTACTAGACACGTGTGGAGGCGTTTTTATGATACTGTCCATGTCCCAAATTGCCAGAGTGAAAATAATAATTTAGCTAAATAGTGAACAATGAAGGCTGTACATGTCATCGCAGGGCTTAAAAAAATTAAAGCAACCTCCTCACCAAAGACAGCTTACTTACCTTACGGTGTAGTCAATAAAGAACGCTGGCCTGGGAATCAGACAGACCTGGGATCCAGCTCCACACCTATAATTTTGTAACTAAATGTGCTTAATCCCCAGTTTCTTCCTTTACAAAATAAAAATAATTGTGGCTATCATCTGTTGACATTCTGCTGCATTAAAGACGCTTCAGGTAGCTGTTACCGTCTTTAACTGCAACAAATTATAAAATGAGTATTGTCCTCGTTTTACTCAGGAAGCAGGCCCGGAGAGATGGGGTAACTTGATCCAAATTCTGCATAAAGTACGAAAATCGTTTAACAGAAGTAGAGGTCCCGGAGATAACGAGATTAACTGGCTGTTGCTCATGTTTTAATTCTGTAATCATTACATAGACTATCAAAAGTTTGCATGGGGGGCTTCCCTGGTGGCGCAGTGGTTGAGAGTCCGCCTGCTGATGCAGGGGACGCACGTTCGTGCCCCGGTCCGGGAGGATCCCGCGTGCCGCGGGGCGGCTGGGCCCGTGAGCCATGGCCGCTGGGCCTGCGCGTCCGGAGCCTGTGCTCTGCAACGGGAGAGGCCACAGCAGTGAGAGGCCCGCGTACCGCAAAAAAAAAAAGTTTGCATGGGCTTCAAGCTCAAAAATGAAGTTTCTATCCTGATTCTGTCCTTTACCAACTTTGCAAACTTATGCTAGTTACTTAACTTTTCTGGGCCTCAATTTCCTATCGATAAAACAGGAATAATTCCTACTTTATAGGGATGTTGTGTGGCTTAAATGAAATAACATTACGTAAAATTTCCAAGTACATGCTATGTATTCAATAGATGTTCTCTTTAATATCATTACTGCTTTTAATACGAAGAAGAAGAGAAAGAAGGAAAAAAAGAAATTCTTGCCAGATACTTTCCATTATGAGTTTTTGATGCTAGACAAAACACTTTTCCTCGAGTTATCTCTAATGAATTTTTTATTATTAATAGGCCTTCAGAATGAAGAAAAGAGAAGTGCAGACCTAGCCCCACTAAATCTCTCTTTGATTTAATGGTTTTAAGCTTTTTGAAAGTGCAAAATGAAAAAAAAATTTACCTATTCCTAATTATCCATTGTTCAAGCAACATTTAGTTTTATCCAAAAGCTCTATCTACATATTGTAAATCGTATCACTATTATGATTGTCTTCTGGTTTTTCTCCCTTTAAATCTAGTCATGTGTGGTTTGAATTCAGACAGATTCCTTTACCTGAAAAATAAAAATGAAAAAAAATTTTTTGTAAAATACTTTCTTGTTTAATAGTTTCTGATAAAAATTTCAAGATCAAAAACTTTTATCATACAAGTTTATGATTAAAAAAAAGCCTATTAAAAAAAGCACCTTAACATAAGGGGGAAAAAATCAAGTCAGTAACATACCTGATACCACTACTCCAGTGAGAGATAGCGCAGAATTTATTTTTCATGCTTGATGAGAAGATTGTGTGTGTGTGTGTATGTGTGTGTATAAATGTGAACAGGAAATGGGGAATTGGCATGCTATTATTGTTTTAACCTTTCTTTTGACATATGAGACACACCATGTTCCACTGGGTTAGAAGACAGCCCCTTTTTCCTAACTTAGGGAAACGTTAGTGAACTGACTCTTGAGGACATGTGAGCATAAATGCCAGGACTCTGAGCTCTGGAGCAACTGGTCCCAGAATAAAGTGGGATCTATAGGTATTGCTAGATGAGAGAAGGCTGCTGAAATGGCAATTAATACAAGATCTTCAAAGGGCTAAAAATTCTAGCAGATTTTGGTTTGACTCCTGGCTCCATTAGAGAAAGTTCATTATCTTTTCTATGTTTTTTCCCTTCTTTGTAAAATCAGGATCATACCACCAATCCCATTGGGTTGTTGCGAGGATTAAATAAAATTGAATAAGCCCACTTATCATAGGTAGAAACTATTAAATGTGAGGCTTCTCCTCCAGCGCACCCTACTCACCTGCTTCACGCCTTCTGGCCATTTTGGTGTTCTGGAGCCAGTGCTTCTCAAACTCTTGGTAGATAAGGATCAAATGTGTGTGCGTGTGTGCTTGCACAGGTGTGTGCCTATGTGTGTTTTCAATCCACTGAAGACTGACACTTTGGTAAAATACAGTAAAAAAGAAATTTAAAAAAACATACAAAGCACAAGCCCCAATTTTTTATTGTTGTGGTCAACAGACAGAAAATTGTCAAATTTCTATAAACCTTTATAAATGATTTCTCTCAATATCTGTATGTCTCAGTGTCTCTCAATACAGGTAATGGTTACCAGCTGGCCGACCACGCTTTGAATAGTTCTGGAAAAGGGTGAGCAGCAATGTGAGAAGATGAACTTGATTAAAACCTGTGAAAGAATACTGTCAACTATGAAGCTTAATAGCATGTTAGCTATCATCACTGTTATTGCCTCTTCGTATATACCTGTATTATTCCCACCTGATCTTAAAGAACTCAAACCCCACCTTCTCTGTGCTATCTCCTTGCACTCCCCAAAGTGGCGTGTTGCTCTTGTCTACACATTCTCATAGTATTCGAAGACGTACGTTATTCTTAACCATTAATGGAAGTCTGGAATCTCCAGCTGCCATAATTTTTATTCTCCTTTTGTGAATGGAAGCAGATTGATGGTTTAGCAACATCCTGTCCAGATATTTCTGTTGATCATTTAAGAAGGGAACTTGTCTTTAAAAATTAAATGTAAAGATAGAGAAAAATTAAGTATTCATGTGTTCATTACTTGCACCCATTTTCAACATTTTTGTCACCTTTTTGTAGCGATAGAAATAAAACATTACAAATAAATTTGAGGTCCTCCAGTCCCAGCCCTGCTCGCTCCCAAGTTCTTAATGCTGTAGTGTCAAAAATACTTAATCTTTGGTATATGCTACCACCTAGTGGTCCATTTTGCAATGACACTAAATGATACTGGGTCTCCTGCAGGAAAAGGGCCACGTTCAGGAAGGCTTCCGGGAAATTTGGATGGGGTTGGGGAGGAGAGTGTAGTTTGTCTCCTTATTGGGCATTTTCCCGGCTTTTAGTGAGCATGGACTAGGGATACTAGGTATTGTCATTTTCTTGAGACAACACCTCACAAAGAAGAAATGAATTGTCCTAAATCCTGAATGTTTTTCCTATGTCCTGTGGGATCTTCAAGTGTAAGAAAAACCTGTTTGCAGTTAACTGAGCTTTAACCTAATTTGGTTTTACATAGAAACACAAGATATTTTTAAATTTTAAAAATGTAATCTTGAATTGTCCATGGATGCAATTATTGTGTACATCAAGAAAAATTTGCACTTTGTTCTGTTCAGAACTTTACCAAAAAAGGTTTATCATTGTATAACATTGCTTCACCCACCATTTGTGTGGTACCGTGAGAACAACACACCTTTTTCAGTGCATTTGTTAGATATTGCATGCCTGTGTGTGTATTTGCATAGGAATATATTAAGCCAAATTGTAAAATACCAAATATAAAAAAGAAGTGATGGCAATATTCAGTTAAATATTGTCTTAGTTCTGTTATTCTAAAATTATTCATTAGTTATAAATATCTGATGACCACTCTAGGCCTTCTACTAGAGTCATTTGAATATTAAAATACACATTATTTTGTTATATGTGATTTTCCTTTTCTATTTCTTCCCTATATTTCAGCATAAGGGCATCATATTGATTTTCTTTTAAATAATGCACCTAGAAAGCTTATGTTCTCTATGAATTTAATGACAAGAAAATAAAGTGAGCATCACATACTATCTATTATTTTTAAAGGGGACATTGAGTTAGATGGGATTGAAAATTTTTTAATGGAATAACAATGTTATATTTATTGAGCTCTTTCTCTGTGACTGGCCATGCCCAAAGGGTTATACATGTGTTAAACAATTATTCCTCAAAATAACCTTGTGAGTTGGCCACTTTTTCTTTCTTTCTTTTTTGTTGTTGTTGTTGTTGAAGTATTGTTAATTTACAATATTGTGTTAGTTTCTGGTGTACAGCAAAGTGATTCAGTTATACATGTGTATATTCTTTTTCCTATTCTTTTCCATTATAGTTTGTTATATTGAATATAGCTCCCTGTGCTATACAGTAGGACCTTGTTGTTTATCTATTTTGTGTATAGTATCAATAGTTTGTGTCTGCTAATCCCAAACTCCTAATTTATCCCTCCCCCAATTCCGCTTTCGTAACCATAAATTCTTATTCTCTGTCTGTGATCTGTTTCTGTTTTGTAAACATATTCATTTGTATCACTTCTGTTTTTTTGGCTGTGCCGTGCAGCTTGTGGGATCTCAGTTCCCCAACCAGGGATCTAACCCGGGCCGTCAACAGTGAGAGCACAGAGTCCTAACCGCTGGACCACCAGGGAATTCCCTGTAACACCTTTTAGATTCCACATATAAGTGATATCATATGATATTTGTCTTTCTCTATCTGACTTACTTCATTCAGTATGATAATCTCTAGATCCATCCACGTTGCTGCAAATGACATTATTTCATTCTTTCTTATGGCTGAGTAGTATTCCATTGTATATATATATATACACCATGTCTTCTTTATCCATGGTTGCTTCCATGTCTTGGCTATTGTAAACAGTGCTGCTATGAACATTTGGGTGC